GCATATTTCCACTTGGAGTTGGGACACCCTAAAAACTGGGGAACTTTAACCCTAATCTCCCACCTGGAGGTGACTTATGAAAATGATGCTCGAGCATTATGAGATCTAATATAGTTCCAGAAAAAAAAACGGTTCTTCAAATCTCTAATTTTCAAATCCTATTTCAGTTTTGATCCATGTCAATTGCCATTCAAGGATCTGCCTCAGCTTGAAAAGCATCTCAGTATAAATAGGCACAAAGAATGCCGTTCTCTAGCAAGAGAATATCTAGGCCAGTGCTTGGTGCAGAGGATCCGAAGAGGAAAGACAGATTATTATGAGAAGGATTCCTGTCATTGTCATAGAGGAGGGGGAAAAAGAGAGAGACACCCACACAAATTCTGTCTGATTTTTAAGGACGAACGTGCACATATTTGGAACAGCAGTCTGCTTGTAGAAACCATTCACAACAATGAAATTGCTGCTTCTTATAACTGGAAAGGTAATATTTGTACATCAATTATTTGATTTCACTACCACTTCCATAGTTAGCCCTTCACATTTGCAGGTTTAACTTTTGCAATTGGATCAATATTTGATCAATGGAAGTTGCCCATAGAGTCACACTAGAGCAGGCATGGTCAAACTTAGGTCCTCCAGGTGTTTTGGACTTCAACTCCCACAATTCCTAACAGCCTCAGGCCCCTTCCTTTGGGGTTCGGATGTTCGGATGCCCTGAGTCTCCATGTCAGGCATGGGCAAACTCTGCACATGTTTTAAAGATGCTGGTTTTTGAGGCGGCAGAAAATGTTGGTCTCTTCTACATTGCCATATAATCCTGATCATCAAAACAGCTAATCCACATTATCTACTTTGAACTGGATTATTTGAGTCTACTCTGCCGTATAATCCAGTTCAAAGGGGATCATCTGGATTTTGTATTGTCAAAGGCTTTCATGGCCAGAACCACTAGGTTGCTGTGAGTTTTCCATGCTGTATAGCCATGTTCCAGAAGCATTCTCGTCTGGCGTTTCGCCCACATCTATGACAGGCATCCTCAGAGGTTGTGAGGTCTGTTGGAAACTAGGCAAGTAAGGTTTATATATCTGTGGAATGTCCAGGATGGGAGAAAGAACTCTTGTGCGTTTGAAGCAAGTGTGGATATTGCAAATTGCCACCTTGATTAGCATTTAATGGTCTTGCAGTTTCAAAGCCTGACTGGTTGCTGTCCAAGGGGATCCTTTGTTGGGAGGTGTTAGCTGACCCTACTTGATTTCATAGGGTTTTTAAAATACTGGTAGCCAGATTATGTTCATTTTCATAGTTTCCTCCTTTCTGTTGTCCACATGCTTGTGGGTTTCAATGGCTTCGCTGTGTAGTCTGACATGGTGATTTTCAGAGTGGTGCAGCATTTCTGTGCTCTCAAATAATATGATTTGTCTAGATTAGTTCATCAGAAAACCATGAAAATGAACAAAATCTGGCTGCCAGTATTAAAAAGCTCTAAAATCGGGACAGAAAATAAAGGGCAATACTCAAAAACAGGGGAATTCCAGACAAGAAGCAATAAGGGCCAGCTAACACCTCCCAATAAAGAATCTCCCTAGAGAACAACAAGCCAGTCTTTGAAGCTACAATGGCCATTCAAGCAAACAAGAGTTCTTTTTCCCACCCTGGACATTATTCCACAGTTATATAAACCTCACTTGTCTAGTTCCCAACAGACCTCACAACCCCTGAGGATGCCTGCCATAGATGTGGGCAAAACATCAGAAGAGAATGCTTCTCGGCGGTGATTAATAATTAGGGCCAGTCAGGCATGTAGCCGGGGGGGGGGGGGCTCGGGGGGCTTCAGCCCCCCCCCCCCGAAATTTTCATGGTGGTTCGCGAAAAGGCCTTATTGGTGCATTATTTAAACTGTTATGTTTATTCATATCATGATCTGATCACCATACTCAATATATCCCATATGCATGGGGGTATTGGGGTAATGATACAAAAGGTTTGCTAGGCTAGACCCTCTTTCACTCAGACTCAGCCCCCCCGAAACTCAGCCCCCCCGAAACCCCCCCTGAAAAAAAATTCAGCCCCCCCCCCCCCCGAAACCAAATCCTGGCTACGGGCCTGGGCCAGTCTACGAAGCTGCAAGGCCATTCAAGCAAACAAGAGTTCTTTTTCCCACCCTGGACATTATTCCACAGCTATATAAACCTCACTTGTCTAGTTCCCAACAGACTTCACAACCCCTGAGGATGCCTGCCATAGATGTGGGCAAAACATCAGAAGAGAATGCTTCTCGGCGGTGATTAACAATCAGGCCCAGTCTTAGAAGCTGCAAGGCCATTCAATGCTAATCAAGGTGGCCAATTGCAACATTCACACTTGCCTCAGACAGACATGAGTGCTTTCTCCCACCCTGGACATTCCTCACAACCTCTGAGGATACCTGTCATAGATGTGGGCAAAACATCAGGAGAGAATGCTTCTGGAACGTTATCATACAGCCCGGAAAACGCACAGCAACCCAATCTGGATTTTATATGGCAGTGTAGAAGGGGCCTTTGTCTTTCTCCTATGACCATAGACTGAGTCCTTGTGCTGAAGTGGGCTCCAAAAGTAGTGAGTCTTGATATAAAATAAAGCCGGAAGTGGAACATTTCCTTATCATCGCAATGATCCAATGTGATGTGACCTATGTTGTGGAGAGAAAGAGATGGCAGTCTCTGTTGCACCCATTTTACAGACTTGAGAATTGGAAGATTGCAAAATGAGACTTTTTCCAGAGAAGAGATACTGATGAACCAATTTGATGCCTGAATCCAAATCCAAATGAGAATGGAAGCGAAAGCCGAATGGTTTAGTCACTTAGTAATAGCATTGTAATAAACTAAATCACTGACCACATGCTGCCAGATAATGGTACCCCAAGGACCGACATCTGAGATGCTCTGACTCACCCTTGCAGGACAACACTGTTAAATCATAGCTGACCTCTAGCCTTAGGTCAGACTTCTAGTCTATTTCACACTCTCTACATGTAGCCAAGCAATGTCAGAATGTATCCAAGTTGGGAAAAGTTATGAATGAGGAAGAATACAGGAGAGGATGCAGCAGTTTACTTTTGCCTGAGCCTACTGGGAAGGCCAAGGCTCCAACCTTATTGTCCACTTCCCTTTGCGGAGTTGTGTACAATCTGCAGCACTTAAAGTAAGCTGAGGACAAAAGGAGAAAGCAGAAGTAGGAGGGGAGAGAAACTGGGACATTTTAAGAGGAACAGAAAGAGTAGGATGGCTAAGGATTAACTGGGATCATTCCTGCCAAATCAGGAGAGTTGGAACAAATCCTATTTAATAATTGTTGGGAGGCATAACACTTGGGGGAACTTGGGTGAGATTTCATAGGCATTGACAGAAATGTTTTGCTATGCTGGCAATATTTTGCTAGGCTGCCCAGTTTTTTAAAATGCTGAACCCACTGCCAGTTTGCACAGTGAAAAAGCTGACAATTCTGAGTCAGTCTTGGCAGCGTCTGCTTTTTGGCCTAGCAAAGCAACAATATGTTTTCTGGCGTTAGGACGTCAAAAGGCAGCCTTTACAGCATTGCAGGAAAGAAGGGCTGGACTATTATGGCCTTTGCATCCTAAATCTTCCTTAATGCCACTCCTATGGTGAGTGTTGCAATTCTTTGTGAGGTTTAGAATGAGTCCAAATTATTTCAAGCGATACCGGCTTTTCAGAGTCGGAGCTGTAGAACAAAGAAGGCGGTGACTTTCCAAATCCACGAAAGAGGGGGGAATGGATTTATTTCCAAACTCCACATCACTGATTCAGACAACATTTGGGATTGTAGGTTTACTTAGCTCAGTGTTTTTCAGCCTGGGGGTTAGGACTCCTGGGGGGGGGGATTGTGAGGGGGTGTCAGAGGGGTTGCCAAAGAACATCAGAAAACACATCATTTTCTGTTGGTCATGGGGGTCTCGTGTGGGAAGTTTGGCCCTATTATATCATTGGTGGGGTTCAGAATGCTCTTTGATTGTAGGTGAACTATAAATCCCAGCAAATACAAATCCCAAATGTCAAGTCTATTTTCCTCAAACTCCATCATTCTTCATATTTGGGAATATTGAGTATGTGTGCCATGTTTGGTCCAGATCCTTCCTTGTTTGAGTCCACAGTGCTCTCTGGATGTAGGTGAAATACAACTCCAAAATTCAAGGTCAATACCCACCAAACCCTTCCAGTATTTTGTGTTGGTCAAGGGAGTTCTTGTGTGCTAAGCTTGGTTCAATTCCATTGTTGGTGGAGTTCAGAATGCTCTTTGATTGTAGGTGAACTATAAATCCCAGGAACTACAACTCCCAAATGACAAAATCATATAACCCCACCAGTATTCAAATTTGGGCTTATCGGGTATTTGCACTAAATTTGGTCCAGTGAATGATAATACATCCTGTATATCAGATATTTACATTATGATCCATAATGGTAGCAAAATTACAGTTATGAAGTAGCAACGAAAATAATTTTATGGTTGGGGGTCACCACAACATGAGGAACTTTATTAAGGGCTCATGGCATTAGGAAAGTTGAGAACCACTGACTTAGCTATATCTGCCTGTGGAGAAAATGACACCATGCCTATAATTACAGTATAAGCATTTGTTATCCGAACCCTAGAATTTTACAATTCCTACAAGCTTGAACCCCTTTTACCTCTAGCAATCATCAGTAATGAGGATCAATGAAGACAAAGAGGATCAATGAAGACTCTACACATCCAGTTAGGTTCTGAGCCTGGAAGTCCATCACTCCTCCTGGGATTGAAATTGCCATGAGCTTAAAAAAAAAGGCAGAGCCTTCTCCAGGGTGCTCTTAGCAGCCTGGAATGTGAACCCCAATAATTGCATGGAATGGGGGCGGTGAGCCCCAGCTGCCCCAACCAATCAGGATTCACAATTAAACATTCCTGGGGCCAATGGGCGAGGCAACCTTGCTTTCTATGCAGCCAGCCAAGATATACATCTTGTTCTCCCTCGAGACAAGCAATCTGGGAGCAACCAGGACGAGACAAAGGACAACCCTTCCAGAGGTTGTCAAAGGACGCCCCAAAGATGGGAGGACGAGTCTGGATTGCAGTTTTGCTTCTGGCAGTGGTCAGCGTTCAAGGACTGATCCGGTGAGAGAATGCAAGATGTTTGCTCTTGGTGACAAGGCTAAACAGCTGTCTAGTCATTAGGTTTTGTGAAGTTCTTGGGGATTGACTACTCTGTGGTCCTTGACCTGTTGGGTTCTTCTGAACTGTGACTCATCTGATGCACAACTTGGGTTCTCTGGGATGTACAGCCCAGCAGGAAAGTTAAAAATGTAAGGACAAGATATTTGGATGGAGACAGAAGAGTCTAATGATGCGACTTCAAAACTTTGGTGCTCCTGATGCTCTTGACTTCAACTCTCAGAATTCCTGACCATTGGCCAAGTTAACTGGAACTTCTGATAATTGAAGCCTCAATACCTAGAGGACACACACTTGAGAACTGGATTGTTGTAGGTTTTTTCGGGCTATATGTGCCATGGTCTAGAGGCATTCTCTCCTGACGTTTCACCTGCATCTATGGCAAGCATCCTCAGAGGTAGTGAAGTCTTTTGGAACTAGGAAAAAACACTTGAGAACGATTTACTAACATGGAAGATAGGATATACCTGGGAAGAGATTTTAATTTAACACACCTTCCCCCTACAACCTCTACCATCCTTAGCAGGCATGGGAAACTTCGTCCCTCCAAGTGTTTTGGACTTCAATGCCCACAATTCCTAACAGCCTACTGGCTGTTGGGATGTGTAGAAGTTGAAATCCAAAACACCTGGAGGGCGATAGTTTGCCCATGTCTGATCCATAGGCTAAGATCGATGGAGTTCAGGGACCAAATATTTATTTCCTAAGTCATCAAATAGGCAGGGCAGGCCTTTCTCCAGAAGATAATCTGATTAACCAGGAGGTTGATGGGTTGGGAAATGCAGAAGCAGGATCATCTCCAAAGAGTCAATGAGGCAATCAGAAAGGTGGAGTTTTCTCCTGAAAGAGGACCTGCAGGAAGTACAACAGAAGCTATGTTGAGGCTCAAACTTCAGAATTCTTCACAACCTCCAATGTATGATGAATACTGGGGAACATTTGGACAGGCAGCATCAGAATATGGTGAAGATTTTATTAATGAGGAAGAGCAAACAACTCAGGAGAGAATGTAGCAGTTTACTATTGCCTGAGCCTACTGGATAGAGCAGTGGTTCTCAAATCCCAACCACAAAATTATTTTCATTGCTACTTCACAACTCTAATTTTTCTACTGTTATGAATCGTAATGTAAATATCTGATATGCAGGATGTATTTTCATTCACTGAAACAAATTTGGCACAAATACCCAATATGCCCAAATTGGAATACTGGTGGAGTTGGGGGGGGGGGGGGGGGGGGGGGGGGGGGGGGAATTGATTTTGTCATTTGGGAGTTGCAGTTGCTGGGATTTTTAGTTCTTCTACAATCAAAGAGCATTCTGAACTCCACCAACGATGGAATTCAACCAATCATGGGTCACAGAACTCCCGTGACCAACAGAAAATACTGGAAGGGTTTGGTGGGCACTGACCTTGAGTTTTGGAGTTGTAGTTCACTTTCATCTAGAGAGCACTGTGGACTCAAGCAATGATGGATCTGGACCAAACTTGGCACAAATACTCGATATGCCCAAATGGGAACACTGGTGGAGTTTGGGGAAAATAGACCTTGACATTTGGGAGTTGTAGTTGCTGGGATTTATAGTTCAGCTACAATCAAAGAACATTATGAACCCCAGCAATGATAGAATTGGGCCAAACTTCCCACACAGAACCTCCATGACCAACAGAAAATACTGTGTTATCTTATGGTGTTTGACGACCCTTCTGACACCTCCTTGCGACCCCCGCCCAGGGTGACAACCCCCAGGTTGAGAAATGCTGGGATTTCCCTTCCTGCCTCTTCTGCTTTGCTGAGTTAATTGAGATCAAATTCCTTTTATGCTTTTATATTGCAGAAACTAAAGTAAGCTGAGGACAAAGGGGGAAGAGATTAGAGAAACTGAGACATTTAGAAAGCAGAAAAATGTGGGAAAGCAGAGAATTAATTGAGATTATCTCTGACAAATCAATATGGTTGAAAGATATTGGCTCTCCGAAAGAAATATTAGGACAACATCGTTGGGAGCTCTGCATAAACTATGTGGATGATCATGTTACCATCTCTTTTGGTTTTGGAGGCTGCTGTTGCACTCCAGGCCAGGAAAGCCACAACACATAGCTGAGTAGAAATGCAAGCAGTTTATTGAAGATATTTTAAACATAGTAGCATTAAAAACACGCCATAAAAATAGGTAAATCCAATTAGGTAGAAAGATAAGCAGGAACAAATAGTCCAGGAAAATTAGTCCACCAGAGTTGATGAAAAACAAATACAGAAACTTCCAAGGTAAAACTCCAAAATTTGAATCATGAATCAAAAAGGCACTTAACACATGAATCTATCCAAAGCAAGGCTTCCAAGGACCAGGAAAGATGTCTTGACTCAATTCCAATGATGCTTCGTCTGAACTACAGTTTCTGAACTTGGCACTTTTATCCCTTAATCTACTCATTGTTCCAAGCGGCCAGGAACGGATTTCGTTTCAGCCTTGATTCTGTTATCAATCTCTCTCTGAGCCTGGCAGAATGCCTAAGAGATTGGGTTGTTTGTCTGTGCTGATTAAAAACATGCCTTCTATCTACTGGCTCATTAATTTCTGCAGCTGGCCCAGGTTCCAAGCTATTCTCAGGCTCAAAGTCATGGGAATTCTCCGGTAGCAATTCAGGCCCTCTTCCAGGAACCATACCATCATCCCCAAACCCTTCAGGAACATTCTCATCAGAAAAGACACATTGAATAGGAATCCCATTGTCATTCTCTGCATCAATAGCAACCTCATCATTAGAACCTCATTGTCATTCCCAATATCCAGAGCACCCTGATCATTAGACACAATCACAGGCTCTCCCTTTAACAGCTGTGTGACGGGCTGTGTGACTTGCTCAAGTTGTGTATTTGTCAAAGAACTGCATGTTTCAACTTTCACGAAGATGTACCTTGTTGAAAATGGGAAAACTGTGTCAGGAAGATTGTCATTTTTAACAACTCAGCAAATATTTGATAAAAGGTGGCCAATGTACATTCAACCTATCAATCACTTGGTTTCCTTACTGAGTATCAAGGATACTGGTCAGTGTGGGTGTGTCTACACTGTTGAATTAATGCAGTTTGACACAACTTTATCTGTGATGATTCAGTGAAATGGATTGATGAGAGATGTAGTTTTGCAAGATCTTTAGCCTTCTCTGTAAAGTAATATTGCTGACTCACCAAGTTACAAATCCTAGTCTGATGAGGCATCAGCACTCTTGGTTTCAACCTGCATTAATTCTACAATGTAGATCAGGCATGGGCAAACTTTGGCCATCTGAGTGTTTTGGATTTCAACTCGCACCATTCCTAACAGCCTCAGGCCTATTCCTTTTGCTCCTCGGCCACTTAAGTGCGAGTTGAAGTCCAAAACTTCAAGTCAGGGTGGACTAGTGGGTTGACTCAGTGGGATTGCAACACCACAGCAATATTATCCCAAGCATTTTAATATGTCCATGGAACAATTGTGATCCGGCATGCAACCAAATTAACCAATTAACTAATAACTGATCAGGGGACTTCAGTGTCTTAGATAATCAGGTTCTACAGGTAAATTAACTAATTTGCAGGAAATTGGAAAGGATTTTTTTTCTCATTTTCTATTGTCTAATATGAATTGTGGCAAGTTCTCGGTGGTATGGGTGGTATGACCTTGTCTGTTTCTTGAGGAATCTGTATAACAACCACGTAGCAACAGTAAGAACTGAACATGGAACAACAGACTACTTCAAGATTGGGAAAGGTGTATGGCAGGGCTGTATACTCTCACCCAACCTATTCAACATGTATGCAGAACACATCATGCGATGTGCAGGGTTTGATGAATCCAAGGCTGGAGTTAAAATTGCTGGAAGAAACATTAACAACCTTAGGTATGCAGATGATACCACTTTGATGGCTAAAAGCGAGGCAGAACTGAGGAGCCTTCTAACCAAGGTGAAAGAAGAAAGTGCAAAAGCTGGGTTGCAGTTAAACATCAAAAAAATCAAGGTTATGGCAACCAGACTGATGGATAACTGGCAAATAGAGAAAGAAAACATGGAGGCAGTGACAGACTTTTTATTTCTAGATGTGAAGTTTACTGCAGATGCAGACGTTTATTTCTTGGGAGGAGAGCAATGACCAATCTTGATAAAACAGTGAAGAGTAGAGACATCACACTGGCAATGAAGGTCTGCATAGTGAAAGCAATGGTACTCCCTGTTGTAATCTATGGATGTGAGAGTTGGACCATTAGGAAGGCTGAGCGAAGGAAGTTAGATGCTGTTGAATTGTGGTGCTGGAGGAAAATTCTGAGAGTGCCTTGGACCGCAAGAAGATCCAGCCAGTCCATACACCAGAAAAGAAAGCCCGACTGCTCACTGGAGGGAAGGATGTTAGAAGCAAAGATGAAGGTACTGTCGCAGCTGGTGCACAAACTGTGCAAAGATCCTCCTGGCCACCACTGACACCTAAGCGTTAAGCATCCACACTGAGTCCAGGAGGACTGCCAAATTGTGGACCTTTGTCCTCAGGGGGAGTATAACCCCCTCAAGCACAAGTTGCCACGCTTTACCCCGAATGGCCACACGACTGACCAGGAGGACCTCTGTCTTGTCAGGATTAAGCTTCAGCTTGTTAGCCCTCATTCAGTCCATCACAGCAGCCAAGCACTGGTCTAGGATCTGGGGGGCTTCCTTGGAATTTGGTGGAAAAGAGTAATAGAGTATCATCTGTGTAAAGATGGTACTGAACTCCAAAACTTCAGATGACCTCTCCCAGGGGGTTCATGTAGATGTTGAAATGCATGGGGGATAGAATGGAACCTTGCGGGACCCCACAAGTCAATGGACAGGGGTTCAAGCAGATGTCACCAAGCTTCACCAACTGGGTGCAACTCTCCAGGAAGGAGCAGAGCCACTGCAAAGCAGACACATTGTGGAGAGCCGCC